AAAAAAAAACGAAAAATTTAAACAAGAATATTTCAGTCTATTAGGCAGTACACTTGTACCTTGTACACTGATATTATACTTTTTTCCTCTTATTATTTTCGTGAGATGACCTCGAAATTTTCCGAACTGAAGTATTCTTGATTCTCGAGTAATGGCATCAGCAAAGCTTGGGAAATAAAGCAGCAGATTAGGCTCTATAGCGAGAAAGAGGGAAGTTGTGCGCCAATAAACTATTCGGTCAGACTGTCAAGAAAATACACATGTCTTTTCATTGTTTTCCGTTTTCTTGATAATTGTCGAAATGAATGAAAAAGGAACCGTCAGCTCCGGGTTCACCGACGGGGCCTGGCGGACCACGTTGGCAAGTGCAACACATCCCGTAGTTCTGTCGGCGTAGTCTTTTGCCATCCTGGACATCTTTTATCACACCCGTCAGCACCTCAGCTGCACGAGCAACCCGTATTGTTCCTGGATGATCTTCACCGGTTTTCATTGCAAGCATCTCTTTCCACATATCACGTGCACGCACCTGCAATCAAACTTTTTACTTTTAACTTATTTCTGAAAATCCATGCAAAATTGTAGGAGACATGGCAACCCACTGCTAAAGGGCAAAACGCAGAAAAAAATATTTTGGGATGGCGAACCAAAAAGAACTTCTAGAATCGTCTGCTACGCAGACGGTGAGAAGGAACGCGACAATGAAGTAAGAACCGATCCAAATATCAAAATATCAGAAAATATGAAAAATTTTGAACAAAGAATAAAACTGGATAACGAACTGTGCGATGGTACTAACCTGTTCTTATCGTTATTCTCGTTTTTCCTGCTAAGCTCGTTACTATTAAAAAGTGCAGTTGAGAGGAAGATTTTAAAAGCTCTTCATCAGACTTCAACCTCGAGCCACGGTAACTGCGGATTGGTGAAATACTTTTACTAAAAGTAGCAGCTTCTACATAATCAGTCTCGTTCACTACTGCAGATTTATTCAAAAGCTTTTCCCCAGTTGCTACCACCACTGCTTTTCCTCAGTTGCTATAGCCATTGCTTTTCCTCCTTGAAATTTTGCATTTCAATTCGAAAATCTTTATTTTTGTTGCATTTTCCTTGAATTGTTTTTCCGCCATTAAATGCTATTTTTGCGACACACCAACGTATTATTGAATATTAGTGAACACATAAATCCGAACTGTCTCTTCTAATAATTTTGCGTTAGCAGTAATGTAGCATGTATACGTGTTGAAAATACTGCTCTCTGCCACTATTTCACATTAGTGAGACTCGCTTTGGATGCTAATAATTAAAATCACCGGTGAACATTAA